GTTGTGGGCAGCTCGTCTGCAGCTTTAAGGCAAATATTTATCCTGGGTCTTTTTTTATTGCAAAAGGCGCAGATGTGACTTTTTTTAAAGCAGCAACTGCTCTGCTCTGACAAGAGCATGCGAGGCATGGTTCCTCGTTTAAAAAAAAAAATCACAAACCAGTCCCCCACCCCCCCCCCCCCCAACACCCCCCCCCCCCCCTCTTTAAAAATACCTATTGAATACAGGGCTTCTTGAAGGGAGCCCTGCCGCAGAAATGTTAGAGTCCGGTCTAGGAGTGCCCAAGTCAATTAATCTTAAATCCTTAGGTATTAATCAGATTAAAATGTACAGAAGTTTCATTCTCGCATGCATACGTGAGCCAAAAGTCGTTTCCCTTTAAGAGATCCTTTTCTTTTAAAGTTGAATTTTAGGCAGATAAGAGTCTTACACTAGGGGGCAGCCAGATACTGTACTTGCTCCAATCTTAAGCATTTTTTTTCCCTCTCTCACAGCATATGCTCTGATTTAGCACTGTAAATTTTTCAGAGGACCCAACTCTGACAGCCCCTGGTGATTTTCAAAGTACCACAAGCCAGTGGTTAAAAATTGCATTGACTTGGAAGTTCAGAGGCACACAATAGGAGCCACTTTCCCTATTCATGGAACTTCAGTGTGGTGGAAGAGAAAAACATACACATACTACATTGAGGGAGAAGAGGAATTCATTGAATTCTGCTAGACGTAACTGCTTTCCACTGAGTTCAGAGGGAGACTCGGTATTTGTTCGATGCTGTATTCATATTGCGATTTAATCCATACAGAATTAAAGGACTGGGAAGCAACTTTTTGCCAAGGAGGGAGGGGGGACCCCCAGCTCCCCCCTTCCCACCACCCAAAGATTTACACTGATGCTCTCACAAACTCTATTTTAGCAAAATAAACCTTCCCACTCCATCTCATTAAAATACATTTACATCTGTAGAAAGATGGCAGGAAGGATTTATTAAAAAAGAAATCAATACAATAAAATACAATCCTGCTTTAAAAATAAAAAAAAATGCTACTTCTCTTGTGAGCTGATCTCCGATAAGGACGTCTGAGAGTCTTCATTTATCTGCGATGCACTCAGCTTTCAAATATTATTTAGCAAAATTAGCTACAGCTCAGCGTTACATTCATCTATTCCACATCAGCTCACTTGGCAGGGCTGTTTTCAAAATAAATAGGAAACCATCTAATGGCGTTAATAGATAGTTATATTGTTGCATCCTTCGAGGAGCAAATAGTTAATCTGGTGCATTCTTCATTATGGTTTAAGCAATCAGGGTGTACTGCAGCTTTTAAGTATGTATCACTGGCTTTTTTTTTTTCTTTCTTTCTTTACGATCACACATTTAAACTATTCATAATGTAAATGCTGTTAAAACCCGCTTTTCTGTGCTTAAAAAGGTACTTGTGTTTTCCCTGTGATTTTGAATTGTTCTTGTGTAATTTATAAGATTTGAGGCAGGAAACCTCTTTTTTTCCTCCCCTCTTCAAAACATTCCCCAGGAACTACAGGCAATAGCTACTAGGCAGTCTACGTTGTGAGCCAAAATGTGTCGTCCCCCCTCTCATGTCTGAGTGATCTGGAAGCCATAAGGCAGTTCTCCCCACTTTACCGGCGAAAGATTTTCCCTTCCCCCTGTTTCTTTTCCATCCTCCCTTGATCATTGTTTAAGTTCAGGGTTTATGTTGCCACATCAGGATCAATTGGAAGTGTACAGCCTGCCTTTGAAACGGACCAGCAGCCCATCTTTGTTGATGGGATCTTATTATATCCCAGGTTTATAAACAGGACATGGTCAAGTGTAGGTGCTTTTTACAACTTTCCAATCATCTCAGCACCTGCGGCTTTTTAGTGACATATATTATTTCTGCGGTAGAAGGGGGGTGTGCATGTGGCAACATGAAGAAGTGTGGGGGGAGAGCGATTGCAGCAATTAATCCTCTATATAGTCGTCTATGCATCTGGGTCCCTATGTTTGCACTTGCTTGGGAACAGAGAGTCCAACTCTCTAGCCCCAAATGCGTGCCTTAAATAGAGAATTTTTTTTTTTATGAGAAGGGACTCTTTATCTGCGCATTTTTAATTTTTGCTCTCTGTGCAGCCGCTGGTCTGTTCTGGGCTTGAGTGCACGTATTCAGTAAGAAATGTTGACTACCTCCATGCAATGGCAAATAAGCAGCCGCCCCAGTATACTTAGATCGGTTACCTAGTTGCTGTTGCCCTCTGTATAGTACTGAGGATGTGTTACCGAGTCACGGTGCTACTCTATCCGTATGTATTAGCCAAACCTGGTCAAAAACAAGAACAAAATAAAAGTTGAATAGACTGAAAGTGCGTGGCGTTATGGCGAACCTTGCTGGAGTGATAAAAAGAAAGCAGCATTGATTTATCCTCCCCCCCCCCCCAACATATTAAAGGAATGTAATATATGCTGTGTTTGATTGAAATCGCTGCTGTTTCTGTAAACCCGGTGCTTCTCAGAAAGAAAGTGCAAATATATAGATATTCAGACGTGCGTGGCGTGTATTTGTACGTTGATTATTTCCAATTTATATGGGGTGGGTTGATTAAAAAAGAAGGGCTCCTGGAATGCCAGAGCAGTCCAGAAACAATGAAATCTATACTTAACTATTCTGTGATCAAGTACCAGATTCACTGATGTCTCTGTCTGTATACATTGATAGATGTCCACCTAATATATACGTAGAAAAGTCATTGCATTCATGGGCATGGCATGAACACAGGTATCTTTCCCCCTTTGCAAACACCAAGATTCAGCATTATCAGGATTGCGCACGCGGAAACTTTAGCTGATGGCTCTCTGCGTTTCAGAGTTATTTTACAATAATAATTATATATAGAGAGAGAGAGAGAAAGAGAGAGAGATGCTGAATTAAGGCTCAGGCTGAATGCCTTCTAGCAGCAGCCTCAGTGACACACAGTGATCTTTCGGGCAGCATCCTATTTGCTTATGGAGCAATCAAAAGTTAAATCCACATACCTGTGAACTTTAACCCTAACCCAGAGAGAAGTGTGGTCACTGAAGAGCAGCAGGGTTGAGAGCTCCCCCTCCCCCCCCCCCCCCCCCCAAAATGTTGGTGTGATCAAGAGCTGAACCTGATCGCCCTCCTGTAGCACCAACAACTGCTTTCTCCCCAGCCCTCCACCACCCCCCCACCCGTACCAAAATAAATAAATAGGCAATTAAATAAATCAATCCACTAGAAACTTATTTCTTCACATTACCATCACAGTGGGGACCAGAACAAGCGGGCTGTAACTCTTGCTTACAGGTGACGAAACCATCAGAATCTGGGTTGTTGGTTTTGGGGGGGACTTATTTTTGTTTGTTTGTTTGCTTTTCCTGCTATCTGATCCGAGTTAATAAAGTCTGTTCTCTCCCTACAAAGGCTCATCCCAGTCTCCCTGCTCAGCCGGGGTTTTGGGGTGGCTTTTGCAACCCCCCCCCCCCCCCCCCAATTCTGATTTACAATTCATGCAAAAGGAAAGTTTTTTTGCAGGGGAGAAAAACCATCTATTGTCAAGGAGGGGGAAGAAAAAAAAAATCCAAAAATAAATAAATATATAAAAAAAATTCTACCCCCACCTCCATGCGCTGCTCGGAGTTGGAGATGCCTGGGAACCGCGCTGGCGCTAGGACCGGGCGGGAGGCGCTGGCAGCCATAGCAGGCAGCGCAGGGGCTGCGCGGCCCAATGAGGGGCAAGGGGAGGTCCGGGAGCTTTTGACCAGTCAAACACAGTCTGTTGCCTTATAAGGCGCGCGGTCGCCATGGCAACGTGTGCTAAGTTGCAGCAGTCGTGTCAAAGTTCACTATATAGAGAGCGCAGCGAGCTGCTCGCAGAGAAAGCACTCAGCACTCTGCCAGCCCGGCTCCTATCAACCCATTCACTTCCTACCCCCCTGCTTAGCATATTTGATCACTTTGATTCTTTTCTTTTGCTGGGGGATTTTTTTTTTGTGGGGGGGGTTACT